ATAGGGGAGGGGGAAGCTGACAAACATCTCTGCATGGGAAGAGGAGACTCAGAGGAATAAAAGAATTCCATTGTCCTGCTGTTGTGCATTCCATCACTAGCTGAACATAAACATGACATTCACTTCCCTGTGTGGAGCTAAGCCTTACCATTAACTAATAAACAATGCTAAATGAAGGTAACATTCAACAAATGGTAACAACTGGAAACTTGGGTTTCGTAAATAGTTTTGTATAATTGGACAATGTAAAAGAGGAGCCAGAATTATTATTGAAGCAGACCACACACGCTGATTTATCAACTTGACAAAGGGTTGATTGCCTTATGATCAATTATTAACAAGTTGGCTTTGATGACATAAGAACAGAAGTGTCCCATCTGATTTTACTCCTTGAAAATTAAACTTTTTTTCTACTTGTAAAATGGCCTAAAATGAATTGAAGAAAGAAAGTAAAATTTAACTTCTTAAGTTTCACTTCAAAAGAATGAAAAAAGAACAATGTCCAAAATGATGAAATATTAAGAGCAAGATTTCTCAAAAAACATCTGATGTTGCCACAAATAGTGACAAATTCTGCCAAGTGTTGAGGAAAATGAGATTAGATGGTGAGTTAGAAGTTTGACAGTAGGACAGTACCAGGCAGTCAATGTGTGATCATGGGGAACAGCTGAGATGGTAACTGCAGTGGAGGAGAAAAAAGGCTGGACACAGATGGACACAGAGAAGATTAGGACTGAACTGATGAGGCAGGATGTGTGGGGAACGAGAAGGATGCTGGCACTATCTCCTGGACTCACTTTTCCCTAGATGCAGCTTGGCTACAACCACACTCAGCCAGGGGCCACAGCAACAAGGAACTACCATGAACAACAACTACATGAAACCTAGTCATGATCAATCAACAACAACAGATCTAAATAGTGTGCCAAATATACAAAAGTAAACGAATTAAAACTTTATAAATTTATAAAATTGTTCCCCTTTCAAAGTAGCCATCAGATATGTCTTTTCATTAATCAGTTTTTGGCCACAACATGAATGAACATATCAGTCACAGAATGAATGCCACCAGTTTGATAGCTGCCATGTTGGACTTATAAAACTGTTTGACCCTTTGCTAGTGAAAGTGTTACCCAAGGTGTTTTAGTTAAAGGGGAGAAGTCAATATTGGACCTTGGTTCCAGACAGACCATTGGAGTGCGATCAATGTGGTCATTGCAGTGAGTGAGGTAATTCCACTGTCTCCCCCACCCTGCAGGGGGACCTGTAGTTGGAGTCTGTCAGCTCTAGTTATCACTTACAGCCCTTCTCAGGGCCAACCAACCCGGTGACATTTACACTGCTAGTACTGCGTTACATCTGTCTCGCCAGGCCCACAATCAGTAGAAATCAGGTTACACTACTACAATGTGATTCTGATTGACCAGTGCTTAAATCTATGAGAAAATCAAGGATTTCACTGTAGATTACAGGGGACGTTTGTCTCCCTACCACCTACCGACCTCCCTAGAGGTCAAGGGAGACAACTACCCATCTATACATCTTGTCCCCAGACAGCAAATTCTGGCTCTTGAAAGTTACCAAAACTTGTTCACAGACATTGAGTAGCAGTACATGGGGAAGGAATGGATGGCCTTGTGGTTCACAAAAGAACAATTCAAATTTACATATTGCAAATGAGAATGGACATTGTTGACAACATTTAATGTATTATGAGAGGACGATCAATCATTTCATTCTATCTGACACTGTCCCATCTTGAGCAATACTCTAGAGAATGATATAAAATAACACATTCACTTATCCCGATTAGCTCCAAGATGGCAGTGATACACAAAGAGTACATGTGGACCATATGTTGGGCAGCGTATCTATAGACTCATTACACAAATACCTATGTAATACATAATGTAACTTCTTTATCTTTAAGTCAAAATGAAATCCTGATTTGTATTACTATTATTTTCTGTTAATAATTATGTATGTTTATGTGCATTTAACTCTGTATAAATGTGTGTGATTCAAGATGTTTTGTCATTTAAACACTGCATCTGTAATGGATTTTATTCTACAATAAATATTATTTTATCTATCTTTTCTTATCCTGACACCATCAATGCATCATTATTAATCATTTTTCTATGGAACTTTTAGCTAACTATTCAAGCCAAAGAATAACCAAGCATTGAATGTATTATAAATCCCAGCATAAAACAAAGACAGCAGCATTATCCGCAGCCATGCCCCATTACCCCCAAGACAAGCGCCTTGTTGATTGCATCACTGTGCATTACCTTCTTGCCATAACCTGACCCAGCTTTATCTAGTAATTCTAGGAGGCTAGGCTTCAAGCCTGTATCTACTGTCCAGCGGCCAGTAGCAGTATGTACTTTCATCTGTTACCTAAACAAAGAGGGCCCACAGCTGACCACAAAGCAATTAACACCAGGAAGTGATTAGAGACGGGATAGGATTCCGGTCTGGTGGCAGTTTGCAACAGCCTTATCTCCTAACTGTATCTAACAGGACAATCAATGGGGCTGGATCACTTCTGATAACAAGAGAAAGCTTCAAAATGTCTTTGAGGGAATTACTTGGCCATATTCTTCCAATTTTAGGCCATGTCTCCTGGCCAGGAGCATTAAGGTATGAGAAATGTGGGAGGCATGTGAAGTTTATGGTATAGGGGATGATAACAGTTTGTAACTCACTTGTATGATCATGTAACTTTCCTGTAACAAATCAAAGGAACTGTTGCACCTTCTTACCATTCTATCACTAAAAGTTATATATTCACACCAGAAAAACTTTTTAATTACAAAACATGAATAAAACAAATTTTCTGAAAACACATCCCATGTCCCACATCAATTTGTATCCCAATCCATCCATTTAACCATAAAAAACCTGAAAGGAAAATCATGAAAGTGATGTTTTGTTCAAGACATTATTCCTCCATAAGTCAATCCAGCACCTCCTTGTTTATCATATTTGCAGTAAACAGGAATAACTTGTAGCAATGTAAGCAGTACATACAACTCTTCCTCTGCAAAGCTCCACAAATATCTTAATAACTCTTAACCAAACCAATATTGTTGCTAATGAAACCATTATGAATGCACCTACACAAGTAAATGATGTTTGCCACTGAAATATGCTCCAAGTGACCCACCGATCGCAAGCACCTGCGTAATAGACTTGTAGAGGACTTTACAGAGGTGATAACATGATTAACAGCATAGCATACAAATGCTTATATTGCACACCTTAATAGAGGGATTAAGTTGTATTTAAACACAGGAAGCTGTCATAAATTATAAGTGATGATAGATTTCTCATGTCTGCATCATTAGTATGACATGATCACACACACGAAAGTAATGAAACTTGCGAATGATCTCAAACCTATTCTACACGTTTAAGCCATTCTTCAGTTGCACATGCAACATCAAAGTGTTATAATCATGATCAGGATTACTTACATGACAAATGTACATTTATTCATATTGTATCTAGCAGATAATGGACATAAAATGTTATGTTATATGACAAAGAATTATAGTTCTCAAAAGGGATATATAAGGTATTTTGCATAAATGACAATCATGCCATGCATGTCCCTTGGAGATATGCATAAATCTGGCACATCTTCCTGTTTGGATAATCACTTTTGGTGTTGTCTCTCAGGCAGGCATTGATGGTACCTGACATTTGACAAACTTGCCTCACACACACCATTTCCTGGTCCCTACCCCACTACTCCCTTCCCTCTCCCCTAATGCCAAACTTGGTCTCAGCTGACTATGTTTTTAAAGTGTGAATTAGAAACCACATTTGATGGGAGAACATTTTGCAGAAACAACTTTGGCACACAGGGAAAGCTAACCTTGAGAAACAATGTCATAAGATAAGGGTAATGCAAGCCTCTTTGAACTTAACCATTCTAAAATTTGATTGATATGCTATTTAAACTATTTAACTTTAAGTGTTGTCATATTTGAGGGGTATATCATATTTCCTGCTATGATTAACGACAGTTAGTTTTAAGTGATATATAATGTGTAAAAAGCCACTGGCTTCAAAGACAATGTTATGTAATATTTTTTTAAACAAACAGGAACAACATAAATTCTTTCTTGGGATTTCATATCATAGATTAAATTTGTCTGTATTCTATTATTGGTAAATGATGTAAAAATATCAAAATCTGAAAATGGATAAAAATAAGCTGATGGGAAGTAGTGCTATTTCTAATTGCTTTACATCAATCAATCAATCATCATTTGCTCTATATATTCTGTGTTTCATTGTTTACTTGTTTATTTTAAAACTAAGAAATACTAGTTAATTATGAGGAAGTATACACAAATAAAGAAAGGCATAGAATTCAAGTAACACAGTATGGTGTTTGTCTCAGATGCATGTGCCTCTCTGTCACACCATCTCTGCTGACACAGAAATCTTAGTCACCTATTCCATGTGAAATTATGGACAGTTGAAATCTTTTCCAAAATACACTACATGATCTACATATTTCAAATGTACAACAAGTTCTTGTCAATGAGAACTTTTCAAGGGTTTTTCCACATGAAAGAAAGTTACCGCTGGGCTGTACCTACACAGATTAGAAAAGAGCAAAACCATTATTTGTTTTTAACTACCTCTCAAAACATAAATGTTTTAAAGTGTCAACATCCTTCAGCAGTGGGATTTTGATATATTCAGTACCGTGAACCAATGTACAATGGTACTACAGAAGTGAGCAGCTACAGGCAATCCCCAGTGTACATGTATGTGAAACAGTCATCAACATCTACCTATTGCCACATGCAGAACTACTCAAGCAATACCTGTTAACACATACAGAAAAGTCAAGTTTCACTTCTGCCATACTGTCACACAAGTACATGTAAACGATAAAGACAAACACATGTATCTAGTATAGGCAAGTGAACTAGATGAATTATCTATGCAGTCATATACAGGTGTGAGACACTTACCGTGAGAGACCCAACCATGCTTGCATGTTTCACATTGACGGAGACAGGACTTTCCAGGGGGAGAAGCATTCACACAAACAGTTGGGGTGCGTACAACGGATGGCCTGGAAAAAGAATGCTGTTTTCATAGAAAACTCCGATTTCATAGCAGCAAAATGTCGTATAACATTGTGAAGGTTTGGTAGTCGAGGAGGTCTGTCAAACATCCGTATGTCCATGCTGCGATGGAAACTGCCACGACCATGAATATTCATTGCTTTGTTCTCCCTGGGGGTAACTCAAAGCACTAGTAGTAAAGCAGGTTGGTATGCAATTGTCTAATTCCCAAAACATGCATGTTTGCTATTTTGAAAAGTTATTTCATTTTGAGGAATACAGCTAGGGTGTGGAAATACACACACTGTCCTTATTTGAGAGGATGGCACTTTAAGCCAGAGGAAAAACTTTGGTCTGACAACTCTTCATTGCCTCTCAGAGTGTTCCAGCCTCTCTCTTAAACAGAAACAATTCCAAAAATCCCTGTTACTAAATGACAGATGCCCTGCGTAATAAGCGGGAGGCATGGAGTATAGGTAATGGACCAATGTGCGAGCCATAAATGAGGAGCGAACTTGTCGAGCATGTTAGACACATAATTTCATTTCATCTCATTATTGATGTGGACGGTTTTTTCTTACTCTCTCGATCGCCCTCCCTCTCTCGGCACGGATTCTTCATTCGAGACTGTTATTCTAGCTCAGGCCTAACGAGGCAGATTTTTATTGTCATGGTCTTAATAACAGTGATCTGGAGCTTCCTGGTAGTGAAGGAGGCGGGCGGCCACTGGTAAGGTCCGAGGAGGGAAGGGGCAGGGCTCGGAGGAAATTAACAAAAACTGCACATAGATTATGTTCCCTCACAAAGATAACATTACTCAACACTCCACTGCTGGTCAATGATTATGAAAATTTGATGAGAGATGATGGACAGGCGAGAAAAGTTGAAGGAACTAGTTATTATCGTGTGAGGCTAACAGATATTTAGTGGGTGCTGATATGTCGGTATCAGCAGAGTCCCACACAGTACAGCCCATCTTGTACTTGAGAGGACTCCGAGGAGGAGGAACTGCTACAGTTTGGTGTATTACAATCTCTCCAACTAGACATTGAAATATTTTAAAAACATCTAGGGTTCTGGAACATTAATGTTTCCATCCTCAGGTACATTTAAACAGGTAACAGAAAACATTTAAACAGGTAACAGAAAACATTTAAAACAGTTAACAGAAAACATTTAAAACAGTTAACAGTGAACGTTTTAAACAGCTTGTGTTCAGAATGATTCTTTTGTTCATTTCATTATCTAAACTGGCCACTTTGTACATGTATTAAAAGCATATTTGTAATCCTGCATATTGCTTAAATTCAATGAATTTCCCAAAGATCAAAATTAAATATCTGATATTTCTTTTGAAACAGAGGAATCATAAATCCAAAAATAAAAACAGCTCAACTAGACATGGACTGTCATTTCTGAATATAGAATTCTAAACAGCACTGGATTTAAATCAGCTCATAAAAATTGTCATGGGATTTGAAGTAAAGGAGGTGGGATTTGAATTCCTGACTCCTTCTAATTTCTCAATAAATTATTTCATCAAATATGGAAATGATTAAGATTCTTGTTCACAAACCTGTTGATCAAATACACGGAAATTTAGTCAAAAGTAGCTATTACGTGCAACATATAAGATAATATCTCACTTTTTCCAGGCTGTTATGTTGTATGTTTACCATGATCTTTATTAAAAAATTGTACTATCATGTGAAACTAAAACATCATAAGATTGCTTAAGTAGATTCATTTCATGTAAAATAGACTTGTCACCAAGAAACATAACAACCACAGAAACCATAAAAAGAATGATTATAATAATTAAGTTTCGAAAATCAACATACAGAAATAATACTCTTGTCTAAATAAACTTTCTATATAAGGCTCCTCTTTAGCCTTCACAAGCTATTAAATTTCCTATATTTCCAATCCTAACTCCCTCTCTATCGTCTCTTGTTGATGTTGTTAACATGATGAAAAAAATATTCCACTGATGATATTTCAATATTATTTTGTCAGGTTATTATTAGCTTTTCCTAGGGGAAGAGAAACGTCAAACTACAACATCAAATATTGCCATGTATTCATTACACCATACAATCCACATCCAGTTATGTTTGCACACAGATTATCTATAATTTCCCTGTTAAAAGCCCCCGAGCTGTGGAGTGAATTGCTACTGATATATTGAACAGATTTCTATAGAGCCCACTTGATTGGTTATGATGCAGGGAGGGTTGCGTCTACCTGTAAATCAGATGCTATGTGTATTTTGATTTATCCCCTTTCCTCTGCTGCTGTGAATGTATTGGGTGAGGAAGCTTCAATAAGTGGACACCCAAGCACTGTTCACTCCCAGGTATAAATCTCCACCATGGGACAACTGAACCATCCAATAACTTGAACTTTGCAGATTTCATGACCCTGTGGCTCCAAGAAACATACAGACATGGCTGGGCATGCTACTCCCGATGCTCTCTCGTTTGGTGCAGTAATTGAACAATTCTTTATTCTTTGTCAATACTTGTGTCGTGTGGTCATGAGAGACAGTGGGAGAAGGACAGATGCTGAGTTATAGGACATAAATACAATTGCTTTGACACAGAATGGAGACACCTGGAATTTTTCATGTCACGACTGACAAATCAAAGTCTGGGGAGTTGGGAAGACAGATGACTCTGCCACCGAAAATGTTGTTGCTGGAATCAGAGTTTGGTTTTATCAGATTAAAGCAGGAATTTGTCACTGACGTGACCATTGACTGAAGCTAAACGAGGATACTCTCTGATTCTGGGTGTCATTTGCACACTGCAGACTCGCTCGATTCCATCTTCTTAATTGGGACTGGTGGGGCTGGGTTTGGAGGAATGCCACACCACAGGGAGGAAAGAAGAACAGAGTGATTATTTGGCCAAACAGCTCTCTGTCAAGTTGTTGATGCAACAACAAAAGACCCTGCACTGCCATTTCTTGCAGATGATCATAAACGTCTTTTTGTGGTCCAGCAGATTATAGTTTTGGCATAATAAGAAGTATTCTGTTAAGAAGATATACAGACCAACTTGAAGTGTTGGTTGACGGCTGGTGGGTTCCCACAGGCACAGAGACCTCAATCGGGGTAATGAGTCCCCTTGATCAATATTGATCAATACCACAAAAATGTCTACCCTACGAGGACAGACAATACATCTCTATGACAAATCCAGCCAAGTTGTGGTGGACAATAAGCAGTAGTGGCATCACTCAGTTAGTGATTAGGGTGATTGAATGTCATTAACTGACTCTTTGACATGGGGCCTGGATTGCTGGGGACCAAGGGCAGCTATTGGGGACAAACGTGCCTGATGAATGCATGGGACGCACTAGGACCATCTCAATCATTTTAGCTTGTGAAACTCATTTTCCTGCCATAGCAAGATATATTGACATTGGGCTCAAATAACTTGAGAGCTGGTTGGGAGAGTGTCATGAAACTTCATCTCCAAACCCCATTTCTCCAGCTCCCATCTCTAGCATCTGTGGACTATAAATAGCCCCTTCCTCTCTCATCCTATCTCTGCACTGTCTACACTGTCATCTGACAAACTTCCCTTCCCCATCTCGCCAAGTTTTCTCAACAAATATTAGAGTCGCAGAAGATCTGGCAAAACTGACTAGACAATTCCACTGTCCATTTGATGAAGTATGGATGCTGTCTGTACCATCCCTTGTTTACCTCACTGTAGAATGACACAAGACTGATGATGACCTCTGAAGACGAGCCAAGGATGCGTAGTGCTGTATATATCCCATCTACAGATGCCTGCGATTCCTACCACTGAACCGTGAGCCAAACATGGGACTCATTCACACAAATAATCATTGATTTATCACTTCACCTTATAACTCCTCACCTCCACTCTTTCTCTCTGTCCACACACACCTTTACAACAAAGTTTAAACAGTCAAAAAGTTGAATAAAACTGAAAAAAACCTACCTCAAGCGGTTTCATGACTGGCCTGACATGGGCATGCTGACTGGCAAGTAGTAGGCTTCCCTTCCCCGTCACAGAGCTGGAGGTGACGCCTGGCGAAACACACACCAAACACAAGCCAAATTTAGACAGTGAGCACTGGGGTCCACACAGCCAGGAGGGAGGGGGTGATTGGTAAATGAACAAGTTTTATCATGTGTGGCAGCAGAAGTGTGGTCTGAGTGCTGTGTCCTGGGTTGTCTTGCCACTACCAGATGCCAGGATGGACAGACCAGGCAAGGCAGTAGGGAGGAGGAACTAAGGAACAAGAGATGACAGCCATATTGCTTTGATCTTGTCTCAGGGAACCGGGATGGGCAACTTTGGAGGGGGTGTTCCAAAACTTTGTTCAACTTGTTCAGTAGTTGTTACAGAATATGTGGACATATTATTTCTTTGAGATTATTTTGAGCAGATGCGTAGGATTGGAACTGTGACACCTCCAGCATGAGAATAAAGTGGATAATAAGAAATGACTTTGGAAATCATGAGATCCCAACTATATATATAACTTGGTTGGAGTGAATATATTGTTATTATCAGCTTTATGAGAGACAATTTTCTCAATTAAAACAAAATAACTGAACACGCAAATGCCACAGGCTGATTATCTACAAGAGAGAAGACAACTGACAGGTCACATGGATGGAGGCTAAGTGCATTGTCACACATAAAGTGTCAAACATTATAAATAAAATATTTTACACCATCAGACAAATCTATAATTTCTATCACTAATGAAACTATATCAAATGACAATCTTGAATATATAATTTAATATTCGGAAGCGATCAATACTTAACATTTCTAACAAATTAACTTTTAATGTGAAGCGTATTTTAAACCTGCTGTGTGACTAAACCAACAGCAGGGAGATTCAGTAGCTGGACTTGAGTATTACAACTGACTACTGGTACATGCCTTGCTTCCTACTGGTTATATGACCCTGGTATCAAGCACAGAAAAATAACCATCATGAAATTCTTACTTACAAGCCAACAGAGCTAGTACCAAAAGCCGACTTTGTCATACACATCAGTCATGTCATAAAACAGACAGATGGCCACAGTAACCAAACCGTTCCTTTGTAGCCTGACATGATGACTTCAACAGATCCGTTGCTGCCAAACTACCCTTTAACATCTAGCCCATCCTTACATTACATACAAAGTCTTTATGGGCGTTACCATGTACTCCTTCTTAACATGAAGTTATCACCAGTTCTAAACTAAAGAATATTTCTTGACAAACTGTGTCTGGACATGTAATTACAGGCCATAAATAATTCTTTACAAATCCCACCCTACATCGTCTATACTTTTCAAAAAGGAAATGCAGTGAATAACATGCATGTTTTTCAAGTTGAAACATTTTAGGGAATCAGTCATAAGTAGTTGAAGTTTCTAAGATACATTCGGGTATTTCTAAAACATTGATTGTCCATTCTGTCCTAAAGACATAACAAGCAAGTTAGTACACACTTTGTTGCTCACTTCACAGCTGAGTCATACAGGGAAATCATTCAACTTGCTAACAGTTTCTCATAAAAGTATAATTAATTGTTCAATGTAGCTATTATATTCATATGTTGCTATAACATTTTTCTATCTATACGAAAACATAATATAGATTTGTCAGTGTGGTATTTTATTGGTGAATTGAAAAAAAGATGACAACCGGCGAGCAGGGTGATAAGCCAGTGTCATCAGCACATTTTCAGAATGGTGCAGCATTTCATAAAGAGAAAACATAACAATAAAGAACGTATAGTTGACCATAACTACTTTATGTTATAGTAGACAATGAGAATTTAGTGTATGAAATGAAGGTTTACCAGTGTTTTAGTTGTATCAGATTGTGTCAGCTAGATGTGGGAGGAAAACCCATAGGGATAACTGACATAGTCAAACTCAGAAACAATATCATGCAAACCACCAGGAAAACAGCCAACCAGCAGCTGGGACACAACTAAGTGCAGTATGAGAGGAACACTGACAGATTCCTACCCCAACATCTTAATAAATTCATTTATATGTCAGAGAAATATAACACAAGACCAAAAGATTAGAAGTACACAGAAATATCTGTCCATCTCTGACTTGACAGTCTTCCCAATACTGTTTTGATGAACAGGTTATATGAACTGAAACTGAATTTTCATGTTTTCTGTTCAATAACATGTTTTCAGAATTTGTGTGTTTAGAGCGATATGACAACTTTGACAAATGTAGGAAAGCTACAATCAATAGAATATCATCAACTTGTATACCAGTTAGGCTGAGATGGGTGCCCCACTGCAACAAGTGGGATTCTGCCAGCATAGGAAACCAAATGTTCCTCATATCAAACTTTCATGTTACACTTAGTGCCATCTTGAAGTAGTTACTTGGAAAACCATGTGTATACATTGTTTATTTTCCTACTGCAATGAATTAACAATAGTCATAAAAACACAACAAATGATGAACACTATTTGACAAACTGTATGGTGGATATCTTAGTGAATAAGAACTCTAAACAGTGTCTTGTATGTGTGTCAACTAGCACAATTATGAAAGCAGGTATGGCTCAGAATGTATGCGACTCCTGCAATAGCATCTGTGTACCAACAATCCTCTACTTCTGAAGGATTTAAAGAACTGTTTAAATATACACTCTATACATTATGTACATGTCATCACGACAGTCCAGTCTCTGCAACATGTACATCCAGACAATACATCCCAGTCTCTGTAACCTGTCTGTACAGACTACACATCCCAGTCTCTGTAACCTGTCTGTACAGACTATACAGTCCAGTCTCTGTAACTTGTATGTACAGACTACACAGTCCAGTTTCTGTAACCTGTATGTACAGACTATACATCCCAGTTTCTGTAACCTGTATGTACAGACAATACATCCCAGTCTCTGTAACCTGTCTGTACAGACTACACAGTCCAGTCTCTGTGACCTGTATGTACAGACTACACAGTCCAGTCTCTGTAACCTGTATGTACAGACTACACAGTCCAGTTTCTGTGACCTGTTTGTACAGACTACACAGTCCAGTCTCTGTAACCTGTATGTACAGACTACACATCCCAGTCTCTGTGACCTGTATGTACAGACTACACAGTCCAGTCTCTGTAACCTGTATGTACAGACTACACAGTCCAGTTTCTGTGACCTGTATGTACAGACTACACAGTCCAGTTTCTGTAACCTGTATGTACAGACTAAACAGTCCAGTCTCTGTGACCTGTATGTACAGACTACACAGTCCAGTCTCTGTGACCTGTATGTACAGACTACACAGTCAGGTTTCTGTAACCTGTATGTACAGACTAAACAGTCCAGTCTCTGTGACCTGTTTGTACAGACTAAACAGTCCAGTCTCTGTTACCTGTATGTACAGACTACACATCCCAGTTTCTGTAACCTGTATGTACAGACTAAACAGTCCAGTCTCTGTAACCTGTATGTACAGACTACACATCCCAGTTTCTGTAACCTGTATGTACAGACTACACATCCCAGTCTCTGTAACCTGTGTGTACAGACTACACATCCCAGTCCCTGTATCTTGTATGTGCAGACTACACAGTCCAGTCTCTGTAAGCTGTCTGTACAGACTAAACAGTCCAGTCTCTGTAACCTGTTTGTACAGACTACACAGTCCAGTCTCTGTAACCTGTTTGTACAGACTACACATTCCAGTCTCTGTAACCTGTATGTACAGAGTACACATTCCAGTCTCTGTAACCTGTCTGTACAGACTACACAGTCCAGTCTCTGTAAGCTGTTTGTACAGACTACACATCGCAGTTTCTGTAACCTGTATGTACAGACTACACATCCCAGTTTCTGTAACCTGTGTGTACAGACTACACATCCCAGTCTCTGTATCTTGTATGTACAGGTTACACATCCCAGTCCCTGTATCTTGTATGTGCAGACTACACAGTCCAGTCTCTGTAAGCTGTCTGTACAGACTATACATCCCAGTTTCTGTATCTTGTATGTACAGGTTACACATCCCAGTCCCTGTATCTTGTATGTACAGACTACACAGTCCAGTCTCTGTAAGCTGTCTGTACAGACTAAACAGTCCAGTCTCTGTAACCTGTTTGTACAGACTACACAGTCCAGTCTCTGTAACCTGTTTGTACAGACTACACATTCCAGTCTCTGTAACCTGTATGTACAGAGTACACATTCCAGTCTCTGTAACCTGTCTGTACAGACTACACAGTCCAGTCTCTGTAAGCTGTCTGTACAGACTAAACAGTCCAGTCTCTGGAACATGTATGTACAGACTACATTCAATATTATTATATTTGACTTGTTGGCTGTGACTGGATGAAGTGTCTTAGCCTGGCCATCTTCTTAGACTCACAACATGCAACTACTTACACTGACAAATAGGAATTACCACCACATTGGGTAATATTATTAACAATCAGTCTTTGTTTCAATAAATAATGCAAGTGTATTGGACAAAATCAATAAACAATTATCACTTATTGTTACCATATTAAGCTTATAAACGTCTGTATAGTTGTTGATCACAATCAGTGGGCCTGTATGCTGATGACTAGCTACAGATTATTGGATTATGGACAAATTGTCATAAACTGTCATTTGTTGCCATAATCAAAAATATATTTGAATTGCATAAGAATGTCTTTTGAAAAGCAAATCCTTTTTAACATTAAGACACAATGCATTATTTATATGGTTTAATGAGCTCTGTCATAGGTGTCACAAGTATTGGTGAGGGACAGCTGGACTGATTACCCTTCAAACAAGAGGATGTCTATGCATTAACATTGATGACAATAACATGATAATGTTGTCAAGTTAAAAGCCTACAAAAATTGAACAAATTCTTTTGACATTGATTCACTTGTAAATAAAACATTTCTTTGACAACTAAGCCGTTTTTGTTCCACCTATCTGTGTTACACTGGGTGGTCTAGCTATTGGATGAAAGAAAAGAATACTCTATCAAATTTTGCCCCAAACTCCTTTCTGTTTCAGCCTTGTCTTTAAGGCATATGACTTCTTTTCATTTGACTCTTCAATACAATGACTCTCAAAAGGAGAAATTCATACAAAGCAACATTTAACTACAATTTGGATTTGGGCAAATTGATATAAACAGAAATGGTTCAGATTGTATATAAAAGTATATATTTTATTTGGGGATTAGCAGTGTCAGATATAAATGTCAAATAATTGTTTAAAAACTGAAGGAGGGTCACGGCAATATGTCAGATTTGTAAAACATATCAGTTACAAAAGGGTTAATTCCATTTTCAGCTAAGAAACTTTTTCAAAAAAGGCTATGCCTCTCAACCAAAATAATCAATACAAGTGAACTGGTACATCTGATACTGGAGATAGTTAACAAATATGATTAATGCCTGTAATTACATTAGGTAGGACGCCTTTACAAAGCATGTCCTCTATGTGGGGAGGCACCAGCAGAGCTGGGTGATCCTCCTGTCCCGGGAGCTCAGTAGCCCATCATGTCCCCCATACCGTCCTATCAGTTATACCACTGGCCTGCATAAAGTTTTCTAACTCATCACGCAAGCCCAACATTGATCTTACTTGTGACAGCAGTATGTCTGTGCTATTACTGTATCCAGTAGTCCATAAAGTTGGCAAGTTCTAGGTGTCGCCTAGCTCCCTTCTATAGTAAGCAAGCAGTGTGAGAGATGTCCTATCGGAATGGTACCAGTAAGAGGGCAGCATAGACCTATCCCACGACTAGCAGAGCATGGGCCCACTTGGTTGTCACATGAGATCCCAGCCAATGACATTCCGATAGCAGGCAATCTCACTCCTTGCCAATCAATACCAAGCCACTTCACTCAAAGACAGATGGCACTTTAATTCCATATGGTTATGCTAATGCCAGTGTCTTTCATTAAAATTTCCTTTGTGAAGCAATCTCGGCCTAATTAATTCCTGAGACACACAGCATGACAAATCATCCCCTACCCCAGGGATGTGCCCTCAGCTGATCAAATGAGCATAGGCATGTGGGGGTTGGGCAGGACGAGAAGGGACTGGGGAGACTAGCACATGATCAGAGAGAATGTGACACAAGTAAGGGAGACCCTACCAACACGGCGCAACACGGGCCCATATTGATTTCAACATCTGCAAATGTCATGATGTTTGGATCATCGCGATTATTTTGACAGTGCCACCACATGCACGTCGTTTTCGAAAATGTAACAAGTTACAATGAGGACGAATATTGACCGTCGACTCCACGAGTCCCCGCCACGGAACCCTGGGCTCCTATTTCAGGGCAAAATTTATTATAAGTGCAGATTCATTCTGAATTATTAACATTTAAAAGGAGGAGACCAAAAGTTGACGAATCTGAGACTCGTCTGCTAGGAATTGTCATCACGCCGATCGATAGGCCGGTGGAGGCAATCAAAGATACGTCGTCTGCTAGATATAATCGAATAAATAATGCAATTTGTAACGCTATTAGTATATAACGTGTTGATTAATGATTTGGAATACATAGTTTACGTGTTACTGCATCAAAATATGAGGTGTTGGACAACAGTCAACATACAGTTTCAAATCGTAAGGCCAAATGAAATCCAATACCATGCTTAAAATTAGTTAACTCACCGCCGCCATCTTGTCGGTGCCAGCCTTACGAGAAATGACATTTACGACATTACAATATTAATAAGTAATTATTGCACCATATTTTTCATGATATATATACGAAAACATAATTCTTCGCATAATACGTATAAATGGAACGTTTATTTATTGGTTGTAGTTGTTACGACAATGGGTCACATGGTGTAAACAAACCGGAAACCGTCTCAGCGGCGGATTTACAGTTGATCACCAAGCATGACAAGTGCAGTGATATGAAAGTATCACCCAAATGCAAGATTGGATTACATTTCTACTCGGTGACGACATTTATTATGAACTCTTCAATTTGGTCTGTGTTATAACGAGAAGATGATGAGGTAGCTGCAAGTGATAACCCGATATTTTCAAATATTGTTTGTCAATATGACAACAAACATGTCCTGTCAAGTTTTTCAGCTATAAACGTGTTGCCTGAATTCACTTTACTGAAGATTATGTTGTCTTTTGGAATGCACAAACTTGAAGTGATCAAACACGGCTAGAATGCACTTTACCGGGCGCAGCCCTCGCTGCTTCCTTTACGATCCTTAGGGTTAGGGTTAGGGTTTAGGGTTAGGCACCCTTTACGATCCTTAGGGTTAGGGTTTAGGGTTAGGCACCCTTTACTATCCTTGGGGTTAGGCACCCTTTACGATCCTTAGGGTTAGGTACCCTTTACGATCCTTAGGGTTAGGGGTAAGGGTTAGGGTTAGGGAACCCCAGCAGCGCTAATTAATCTGAAAAAGTGCGCCCGGTAAAGTGCCCGGTATTTTGTAGATATTCAGGCTGATACATCAATACACTAATATTTAAAATGGAGCTGTACAGTCCATTTTAAAATTAGTGCAGAATGGACCGTACAATCAAAATATCTGCTTACAATCTGCTTACATTTGTATTGTTGATGTGTATCAGTCCTGAATATCTAAAAAATTAATTAACATCTAAAACTAGGCAAAAACAGAAATGTTTCTCCAAATTAGCAAAGTTCCACAATAATGTACAGCAACCTCACAAGTGACATCCACTGGGACACATTTCTTCAAACATGTAGTACATGTATTTTTAAGTACTTTGGAAACCGAAAATAGCATTTACTTAAGATAGCATTTTTGCAAATTGGTGTGTGGGACAAGGGACATCCCTTAATTTCATCAAGGTAGTTACGAGATAATTAGCTCTTGCTGGCTAAAAGACTAAGAAACTATTACAGAGGATGGAGCTCATACCCATTCATTGTGAAAATGGGCCAAGATATCAAGTATTTTGTATTTGAATACAAATAATAAAACTTTATGACACCTGCTATATCTAACTCCTAACTTATATAACTCATATTTTACCTTCTTTAGTATTATACAAAACATGGAACAATGTTAATATTGGCTAAAACTACATAATATAAATTAATGTTGCATAAAAATGATAAATATATAGGTAATCTACAATAGGGAGTAAGCTCAAGCTCTTCACCAATGTCTCAGTATTTGCTATTTCGGATATTTCCAGATGCTGTAAATCTGTTAATTTTTTTATGCAAATGATCACAGTCCAAGTTGTATCATCAGCTGGGTTTTTTCACATTTGATGAAATCTTGCAAGTATCGGATGGTGAATAATGCAGATGATGACTTATGATTAAATATGCATAATTTACCTCCTACTTTGTGTAAAAAAAAAATAACAAACAAAAAAGAAAACAATCAGATTTGAGCATACTCCAGTTTGTATTGGACAAATGATATTCAACAGAAACACAACCCTTTCAAAAGATTCATGGTTCTGAATCATTTTGAAAATGGTATAGTGATTTGCTGGTGCTTTGTTAGTGAATGGCACATGATAAAATAATTACTATGCTTTGCACCCATGAAGATCCGGTTTAGTAACCCATGCTTGTTGTAAGAGGTGACTTACGGGATCGGAGGGTCAGATTCACTGACTTGGTTGACACATGTCATAGTATCCCAATTGTGTAGATTGATGCTCATGCTGTTGATCACTGGATCATCTGATCTGGACTCAATTATTTACTGACTGCCACCATATAGCTGGACTATTGCTGAGTGTGATGTTAAACAACAAAGAAACCAACTATGCTTTGCAGTAAGATATTTCTAGCATTTGGCTTATACTACACATGGCCCTCAGCAAGTAGACAATTCAAATTCGATTAACTAGAGCAGATTTATCAATTGTCAGAGCTCCAGATAAGATTTAGCTCATGTGGGTACTGTACCCACTGTATTTTTTTGGAGTGGGTATTATGAATGTTGAGTGGGTATTTCATTTTCCGTTACCCACTGCTTTCAAATATGTGCGTATTTCAGTCATTTTACTCACCTAAGTATTATACGTGACTGAGTAAGTTTACTAAGCAGGTATGTTCTGCCTTATGTCATACCTAATCCAAACCAACTTAAATATAATGGAAATGATTTCATAAAAAATCTCTCATCCTATACTGACAGTACAACACTTGTCCTATACTAACAGTACGACTTGATAGCAATCGATGTCTTTTTCATTACACAAGCGGTTTTTATAAAATATATTCCATACGCATTTGTTTTAAACATTTTGCGTATCTCACATTTTAAATGCATAATTGGTACGCAACAATTATGTTTCAATGCGTAATTGGAAATTTTATATACAGATTTTACCCGGATACACAGCTTATCTGGGCCTCTGAATTGTAAAAATCTTATTTGCCCATGTTGATGGGCCTTTTATAAGTAGAGAGCTTATAAATAATGAACAAATAGATATCCTTGTTTATTTGTTTTTTTTGCAAATTTTGATAGGACGGAACACTAGTTACTTTGATGACAGTAAGCATTTGTTTGGATGAAAATGGCGTTATTCCATTGTGGATACAGGCTGCTGATGTGCGAATGTACATTTTGGTATGTTGCCGCGACTCATCATTAATATGTACATTGTTTTACAAACGAAAATGGTAGTGTATGACTGTGAATGTATGATTGTTCATTTTGTGGTTGTCACAAAAGTATTGACATGTAATGTATTATAATGCTTTAAAAAAAGACATGTCTTTGGTTTTTGGTGTTCTGTAAACAATGTTTTATTTGTGCTTCTTGCAGATGAAAATAATTTCTTACAACTACCTGCCAACTGATGGGATTGGATGTTGATGTCCAACATGTCCACTATATCGCTAGAATTTGACTGCAAGAAAGGTAGGTCACACAAAATACTAACAGTATTCATCTAGCCTCTGTTATAATATGTGAGTTACCTTTTGTACATTGTCAACTCTGTTAATAGGTTGTGATAAAGCTGAAATTTAGGGTGGTCCAATTCTGTTTGTGGACTGCGACTGTATGTTCTTTATGTTCAGTGAGATAAATATCCTCCAGCATTCCATTGGTTCAGTGTTTCGCTAATTGTACATAGTCTATATATATGTCCATTATCAGTCTGTATCCTTCACCCGACGAAGGACTAAGACTTGACACCGAAACGTGTTTAACAAGTAAAGAAGTTGATATCTTTGACTCATGTACATAGCTGTTAAACCTGAAGCATCAATGGCATTCATGAGCAAAAAATACACACAGTAAGATCATGTTGATGTAAAAGTGGTCATCAGAGGGTCTCGGTGTTCGATGTGTATGGGTTACAGGTGTCATGGATAGTGGTGTATTGTGTGTGTTGGATGGGTGACCTCCAGACCTCTCTCAGGTGTCCTGGACAGTGGTGTATTGTGTGTGTTGAATGGGTGACCTCCAGACCTCTCTCAGGTGTCCTGGACAGTGGTGTATTGTGTGTGTTGGATGGGTGACCTCCAGACCTTTCTCAGGTGTCCTGGACTGTGGTGTATTGTGTGTGTTGGATGGGTGACCTCCAGACCTCTCTCAGGTGTCCTGGACAGTGATGTATTATGTGTGTTGGATGGGTGACCTCCAGACCTCTCTCAGGTGTTCTGGACAGTGGTGAATGGTGTGTGTTGGATGGGGGGCCTCCAGACCTCTCAGGTGTCCTGGACCGTGGTGTATTGTGTTTGTTTGGATGGGTGACCTCCAGACCACTCAGGTTTCCTGGATAGAGTTGAATGGTGTGTGTTTGGATGGGTGGCCCCTAGAACTCTCTCAGGTGTCCTGGATTGTGGTGAATGGTGTGTGTTTGGATGGGTGACCTCCAGACGTCTCTCAGGTGTCCTGGACAGTGGTGAATGGTGTGTGTTAGATGGCTGACCTCACCTCTCAGGTGTCCTGGATAGTGGTGAATGGTGTGTGTTTGGATGGGTGGCCTCCAAACCTCTTCTGGATAGTGGTGAATGGTGTGTGTTGGATGGGTGACCTCCAGACCTCTCTCAGGTGTCCTGGATAGTGGTGTATGGTGTGTGTTTGGATGGGTGACCTCCAGTCCACTCAGTTGTCCTGGATAGTGTTGAATGGTATGTGTTTGGATGGGTGGCCTCCAGACCTCTTCTGGATACTGGTGTATTGTGTGTGTTTGGATGGGTGACCTCCAGTCCGCTCAGGTATCCTGGATTGTGGTGAATGGTGTGTTGGATGGGTGACCTCCAGACCTCTCTCAGGTGTCCTGGATAGTGGTGTATGGTGTGTGTTTGGATGGGTGGCCTCCAGACCACTCAGGTGTCCTGGACAGTGGTGAATGGTGTGTGTTTGGATGGGTGACCTCCAGACCTCTCCTGGATAGTGGTGTATTGTGTGTGTTTGGATGGGTGGCCTCCAAACCTCTCCTGGATAGTGGTGTATGGTGTGTGTTGGATGGGTGACCTCCAGACCTCAGGTGTCCTGGATAGTGGTGAATGGTGTGTTTGGATGGGTGGCCTCCAGACCTCTCCGGTATAGTGGTGAATGGTGTGTGTTTGGATATGTGGCCTCCAGACCTCTCAGGTGTCCTGGATAGTGGTGTATGGTGTGTGTTTGGATGGGTGAGCTCCAGACCACTCAGGTGTCCTGGACAGTGGTGAATGGTGTGTGTTTGGATGGGTGACCTCCAGACCTCTCCTGGATAGTGGTGTATTGTGTGTGTTTGGATGGGTGGCCTCCAAACCTCTCCTGGATAGTGGTGTATGGTGTGTGTTGGATGGGTGACCTCCAGACCTCTCAGGTGTCCTGGATTGTGGTGAATGGTGTGTGTTCGATGGGTGACCTCCAGGCCACTCAGGTGTCCTGGATTGTGGTGAATGGTGTGTGTAGGATAAGTGACCACCAGACCTCTCAGGTGTCCTGGATACTGGTGTATGGTGTGTGTTTGGATGGGTGACCTCCAGACCAGTAAGGTGTCCTGGATTGTGGTGAATGGTGTGTGTTGGATGGGTGACCACCAGACCTCTCAGGTGTCCTGGATAGTGGTGTATGTGTGTGTGTTGGATGGGTGGCCTCCAGACCTCTCAGGTGTCCTGGATAGTGGTGTATGTTTGGATGGGTGGCCTTTGTGTGTTCTCTCAGGCTGATGTTTATGTACAATTTGCTTAAAAATGGTGGCACATCACATGAACACAAGTTGCCTAAAATACATTGACTTTGGATATTTAAACCCATGACCAATTACAACCAACAAGCCAATAGCCAATATACAAGTACAGCAATAACCCCAGTATTGCTTGTAGTAGTGGTGATGTCTTGTACAAATGTAAGTCTACTTTCAGATGTTGATGTGAGTCAGTTGCTGGCCCAAAACAAGAGTCTTACCTCTGAGCTGAAGCAGTGTCAGGTAAACATTCTGCTTACATTTGGCTGACCTTTAAACAAGATGCTTACATTTGGCTAAAAGGTAACCATTCTGCTTACATTTGGTTGAAAAGTAAACACGATGCTTACATTTGTCTGAAACGTGAAGAAGATGCTTAAATTTGGCTGAGAATCAAATTTGATTGCTATTCAGTGTGGGAAATTAATTGTGATGCCATCATTTATCCGACTAGATCATCATAAATTGTAACTATGTAATGTGAATGACGGATTGCTTGTTTATGAATTTGGTGCTATGACATATTTTATTTGTAAATAATGATGTAATGGATATATATGTTTTCAAGGAACTCATTTGGACTTTTTCTTAAAATGAGTATGAATGCAGACTTGGTGCCGTCGCTATATGGCTGGAATAATGCCGATGTGACGTAAAACTCAACTCAACTCAACTCAACTCTGACTAGATTTCCAGATCAGATTTTCATGAACTTGTTATCAACTTTGAGCTGTTCAATAAAAACCTCCCAAAACAAACAAAAAAGCTTTGAGCTGTTCATGAGCATTTAGGTCATGTGACCAGGTCTGTGCCAATGCTCATGACACAAAAAGTAAAACATCAAGATTCCTTCTTTAGTTAAGAATGGCTAGTGAAATGAATCTTTTTGTTAAAAGTTACCCCTCAGTTAATTTGTTAATTCAGTAAACATTACAGTGTTACACCATACTGTAAACATTAGCCCATGTTGATATTCATGTGGGAGGTGGGGTAGCCTAGTGGTTAAAGCATTTGCTCATCATGCCGAAGACCCGGTGTAACAGGCCAAACTTTCCCCTGGCCAAACCTTCCCCGGGGAAACTTTAGCCTAGGCCAAACTTTCCTCCCTCCTAGGCTTAATCGTCCCGGGGAAAGTTTGTCCTAGGCCAAACTTTCCCCACCCCACCAACTTTAAGGCTACTTGTTCCCCATCCTTGTTCTTATATCAAAAGGGTGAGATTCCGGCCTAGCTGGGCTATTCCCCAACCTTGTTTTCATGTTTATGTTCGTCTTGAAAAAGTCAGAAATGAAAATAAGACATAGCTATTCACGTGAACACATTGATAAGATATTATGTTGATGTCAAGTTCCATTAACAATTTACAGGTCATCTTCATCTTCAATTCCCCACACAGGTACAATGTGTGAAGCCCATTTCTGGTGTCCCCTGCCATCATTACACTTGTAACAGTTTTAGTTTCCATGTGATTTTCATGGCAATTATGAAACAAATATTTGGCATTAATTGCATGATGTTTTGGAGATAAAAAAATATGTGTTCATAAGACTACTGTTTTCGCTGAATTAGCAACCAATATGAGTTTGAACTTCACTGAGAAAAGATCCTAGGAATTCGTATTACACTCTGTCATTTGCATTCTGTTGTACTGTGCAAACTGAATTGCCACATCTCCATTTGTTATCTATACTCAGCAGCAAAACAAACATCAGTACGAATTCAAAATTAGATGGGCACTGTAATCAAGTCATTACAGAAATGGACAAAATAAGCTGATCAAAAACATTTTTTTGTGTACAATATCTTGACACATCAATGAATAACTCAGCACAATTTCAAGACATTGCGTGAACGTTTGCAGTCCATTCAGACCCTTAACTTCAGTATCTAGTGTGACAACCACGAGCTGCAATAACTGCAGCACAGGATCTATGCATGGAGTGCACCAATCGATTGATGAAGGCCATTGGCACCTTGAACCACACTCTGAGAAAGGCCTGGTGCAATAATTAGGCCTTGGTATGACATTATTCAGTCTCCACTGAATTTCATCCCAAAGATGTTCAATTGGGTTTAAATCAGGACTAAGGACTGGCCACTGCATAATGTTGACATCGTTCTGCTGTAGCTTTGGCAGTATGGGCCCGGACGTTATCATGCTGGAAAATGTTCCGGTGACGTGCGAAATGTGGTATGACGTGGGGTCTGAGAGCTTGGTCGATGTAGCGCAGCGCTGTGATCCTGCCTCCTCTCCCTGGACCAAGGTTCTGGAACACCACAATACCAACTCTCTGGTTCAGGCCTATTCCACCCCATACCATGATGCTTGCTCCTCCCCATGAGTCTCTTTCCATAACACATTGGTCTGAGTAACGCTGGCCACGTCGTCTCCATATTCTTGTTCTGCCATCTGCAGTTGATACGCAGTACCGACTCTCATCTGTTAACAGAACAGTTCTCCATTGCCTGTATCGCCAGTTTTGCTGATGTAGGGCAAACTGTAGACATTCACGCCGATGACGAGGGGTGAGGATAGGTCCACGGTAAGGTCTACGGCAATGGAGGTTCCCGCTGTAAAGATGTCGGCATACTGTATCAGTACTGATTGGTCTTCCGTGTGTTCCCAGTGTCTGGCATGTTGTTTCGGATGCCTGCATGAAGGGATTCTGTACATGCTGTCGCACAACATGGCGGTCTTGTTGTCTTGTGGTCACCCTTGGTCTGCCAGTACGGGGGCGATCATTTGTGGTGTTGGTGGCCCGGAAACGTTGCTGCAGCCTGTAGATGGTCCAAACGTTGACCTGGAAGTGATTGGCAACGGCTTGTGGAGTGTGGCCAGCTTCAAGTCTTCCTAGCGCCTGGTTCCTCTGAGCTGTCGTGAGTCACGGCATCCTGCTGATGTTATAATGTGAATGTTTCAGACAGGTTTGGGGGTGCATTTTATAGGGCTGGTCCTTGTGAACATGAGTTGCATGAAAAACATAGAGAACACCGTACCATCTCCCGAGATCGGGTTGCGTTTTTGAGACCATTTCCTGGGTTCCATTCTGAGTTTGGGAAGGAATGTCTTTGCTCAGGTAAAGTTGGAGATATTGTCAAAAATATACAATCAAAACAGTAAATGAGTTTACAGTTATCCATTTCTGCGAAGGAAAATTCCAAACTGACGTTTCTTTTGCTGCTTAGTATATATTGCTAATATCAGCATTTCAAACTACATGCACATGAATATTATCGTCTCCACTGAAATGGCTGTCAGATTGTCAGCTTTATAGTTTTGCACAAACTTTATCAACAATTTGCCTGGTAGTGGAGAAAGAGTATTTAACATAGCTTGTAGATGGACCATCAGTTTGCACTTTTTTTAATGTAATCTGATCATACTTAAAGGGTACTAAAAGCATCCTATAAAAGAATTCTGCCTGTCTTGTGGTAAAACCAAGATGGACATTAGCTTGTTATGAAATGGAAACAAGCTTCATGTTCTTTTTTTTCCAACAACAGTTTTAATTCAGTTATCAACAAACATATGCCATTCTGTTTACATGTTATGAGAGCAAAGTGCATATCCATACAACATGTAGTAATACAAAGTATCAAGGCTCCATCAATCACACCAAAACACACATATTAACACTAATATTAAACTGCTGAATTATTTGGGAAATTACATGCTATGGCAAACTTATGACACAGTATAGTTACCTTTTATTTTATGTTCATGTTCTAATATTGGATGGAGTAGCATGTTAACATGTAAATATTCTAGAAAAAGGTATTGTCTTTTGGACATGTATTAGTTTTCACCTAGGACTGATTTCATAGCCATAGATAGGTAGTCAAACATGACTGGTATGGTATGTAACGTAATTGGTATCACAGCTGTGTCACTTTTCAAATATTCATTCTTTGAAGGGAAAATTAGTGCTAATTGTTCGTTAGCGAGATGAAGGAAACTGTACCCAAGAATGAGGGATGCACATAATTCTCAAGTGCACATTATACTTTGAAAAATACAGTATGTCCACAGCCTCTCTTAGATTGTGTTATATTCCTCTCATCTATACACACAAGTCTTTGTCCAAATAACTGAATGTAAACATTAGGATCTTTACATGTTGTTCATCATATGGAGAAAGTCTGTTGAAGAAGCAACATCCATGAAACATAAGGATCTTTACATGTTGTTTATCATATGAAGGAAGTCTGTTGAAGAAGCAACATCCATGAAACATTAGGATCTTTACATGTTGTTTATGATATGGAGGAAGTCTGTTGAAGAAGCAACATCCACGAAACATTAGGATCTTTACATGTTGTTTATGATATGGAGAAAGTCTGTTGAAGAAGCAACATCCATGAAACATTAGGATCTTTACATGTTGTTTATCATATGAAGGAAGTCTGTTGAAGAAGCAACATCCACGAAACATTAGGATCTTTACATGTTGTTTATGATATGGAGAAAGTCTGTTGAAGAAGCAACATCCATGAAACATAAGGATCTTTACATGTTGTTTATCATATGAAGGAAGTCTGTTGAAGAAGCAACATCCATGAAACATAAGGATCTTTACATGTTGTTTATCATATGAAGGAAGTCTGTTGAAGAAGCAACATCCATGAAACATTAGGATCTTTACATGTTGTTCATCATATGAAGGAAGTCTGTTGAAGAAGCAACATCCACGAAACATTAGGATCTTTACATGTTGTTTATGATATGGAGAAAGTCTGTTGAAGAAGCAACATCCATGAAACATTAGGATCTTTACATGTTGTTTATCATATGAAGGAAGTCTGTTGAAGAAGCAACATCCATGAAACATTAGGATCTTTACATGTTGTTCATCATATGAAGGAAGTCTGTTGAAGAAGCAACATCCATGAAACATTAGGATCTTTACATGTTGTTTATCATATGAAGGAAGTCTGTTGAAGAAGCAACATCCATGAAACATAAGGATCTTTACATGTTGATCATCATATGAAGGAAGTCTGTTGAAGAAGCAACATCCATGAAACATTAGGATCTTTACATGTCGTCAAGGGTTTCAAACACTAAAACAGTAGCTACAAAATCGGTTATGTACGATTATGAGAAAATGTGATTGATTGCTTGGTCGTTTGGTCACTGCAACCAATCTTCGATTATTTCAATTAATTGGACCACCACTATTGTGATTGTGTTGGGAAACAATTCTCCCCTACCAACCTGGCAGCCAACAAATTCTCCTGGATCCTG